ACCTGAAAAGTGATGATGAAAAAGAAATTGAGATAATTAAGAAGACTCTTGCCATGGAACTTCAAATCAAGAATCTTAGTGGTATAAGATACTTTATGGGCATTGGAGTGTCTGGATCAAAGACGGGAATTGTGATATGCCAAAGAAATTAAATCCTAGACCTACTAAAAGAGATAGGGAGGTTGGGGTGTAAACCTGTTCAGATCAATAAAAGGTTGGGAAGGGGATACAGAAGATAATCATCACCTCGGAGACAAGATACAGCCAAAGCACAACTTATCTTTGAATGAAGTCTCAGAAGGAAAAACATGGAACTTAACCACTACCTAACAAAAAATTGAATAAAGTTAACTCTAAAACATCATAAATACAAATATATAATAATTAAATTGCGATGAGTGGCCCATAAGGGACAGTTAACTCCACAACAATGAAAAAACTTGAACTGATTCAATCCTGATGCGAAAATAGTGGCTTGCATGGTCGTGAGGCAGTAGCACATCGCGGATGGCTCGGTACTGTAGCAGGGAGCAGAAATGTAGAATCTCAAGTAGCACTCAAGCCATTCATTCTTTTCCATCCATAGTAATAATTGGGGATCTTCAAAATTGAAAATCATCAATGAACGCAGATGGTTTGAATCCTTCATTGATGATCGCACTAGAAATAGTTGGATATTCCTCATGAAGGAGAACTCTGAAACTACACAAATCTTTTAGTTCATCCATAACATGATTTATACTTAGTTCAAATGAAAATTTCAAATTCTCAAAATTGATAATATAAATGAATACTTTAACTCGAGCAACAAGCGGCAGCAGGCAGCAGAAACAGTGACAAGCGGCAGCAGGCAGCAGAAACAGTGACAAGCGGCAGCAGGCAGCAGAAACAGTGACAAGCGGCAGCAGGCAGCAGAAACAGCGACAAGCGGCAAGTGGCAAGCGATGGCGGGCAACGGACGACAAGTTGCAGGTAACCACCAGTGGCAGGACTCAGACTACGATGGGCGGCGAACAACGAGATGCAGCAACGGTGACCTACAGCGGCAACGATGAAGACGAAGGTATACACATTTGCATGAAGTCGTATTTCTTAAATTCAGCCAAATCAGTAGCGGGCCACGAAAAGAAAGTGGCAGCGAACTACAACGTGTAAATGGCATACGACGAGCAAAGCGCAGCGAGCAACAAGCGGCAGCAGGCAGCAGAAACAGTGACAAGCGGCAGCAGGCAGCAGAAACAGTGACAAGCGGCAGCAGGCAGCAGAAACAGTGACAAGCGGCAGCAGGCAGCAGAAACAGCGACAAGCGGCAAGTGGCAAGCGATGGCGGGCAACGGACGACAAGTTGCAGGTAACCACCAGTGGCAGGACTCAGACTACGATGGGCGGCGAACAACGAGATGCAGCAACGGTGACCTACAGCGGCAACGATGAAGACGAAGGTATACACATTTGCATGAAGTCGTATTTCTTAAATTCAGCCAAATCAGTAGCGGGCCACGAAAAGAAAGTGGCAGCGAACTACAACGTGTAAATGGCATACGACGAGCAAAGCGCAGCGAGCAACAAGCGGCAGCAGGCAGCAGAAACAGTGACAAGCGGCAGCAGGCAGCAGAAACAGTGACAAGCGGCAGCAGGCAGCAGAAACAGTGACAAGCGGCAGCAGGCAGCAGAAACAGCGACAAGCGGCAAGTGGCAAGCGATGGCGGGCAACGGACGACAAGTTGCAGGTAACCACCAGTGGCAGGACTCAGACTACGATGGGCGGCGAACAACGAGATGCAGCAACGGTGACCTACAGCGGCAACGATGAAGACGAAGGTATACACATTTGCATGAAGTCGTATTTCTTAAATTCAGCCAAATCAGTAGCGGGCCACGAAAAGAAAGTGGCAGCGAACTACAACGTGTAAATGGCATACGACGAGCAAAGCGCAGCGAGCAACAAGCGGCAGCAGGCAGCAGAAACAGTGACAAGCGGCAGCAGGCAGCAGAAACAGTGACAAGCGGCAGCAGGCAGCAGAAACAGTGACAAGCGGCAGCAGGCAGCAGAAACAGCGACAAGCGGCAAGTGGCAAGCGATGGCGGGCAACGGACGACAAGTTGCAGGTAACCACCAGTGGCAGGACTCAGACTACGATGGGCGGCGAACAACGAGATGCAGCAACGGTGACCTACAGCGGCAACGATGAAGACGAAGGTATACACATTTGCATGAAGTCGTATTTCTTAAATTCAGCCAAATCAGTAGCGGGCCACGAAAAGAAAGTGGCAGCGAACTACAACGTGTAAATGGCATACGACGAGCAAAGCGCAGCGAGCAACAAGCGGCAGCAGGCAGCAGAAACAGTGACAAGCGGCAGCAGGCAGCAGAAACAGTGACAAGCGGCAGCAGGCAGCAGAAACAGTGACAAGCGGCAGCAGGCAGCAGAAACAGCGACAAGCGGCAAGTGGCAAGCGATGGCGGGCAACGGACGACAAGTTGCAGGTAACCACCAGTGGCAGGACTCAGACTACGATGGGCGGCGAACAACGAGATGCAGCAACGGTGACCTACAGCGGCAACGATGAAGACGAAGGTATACACATTTGCATGAAGTCGTATTTCTTAAATTCAGCCAAATCAGTAGCGGGCCACGAAAAGAAAGTGGCAGCGAACTACAACGTGTAAATGGCATACGACGAGCAAAGCGCAGCGAGCAACAAGCGGCAGCAGGCAGCAGAAACAGTGACAAGCGGCAGCAGGCAGCAGAAACAGTGACAAGCGGCAGCAGGCAGCAGAAACAGTGACAAGCGGCAGCAGGCAGCAGAAACAGTGACAAGCGGCAGCAGGCAGCAGAAACAGCGACAAGCGGCAAGTGGCAAGCGATGGCGGGCAACGGACGACAAGTTGCAGGTAACCACCAGTGGCAGGACTCAGACTACGATGGGCGGCGAACAACGAGATGCAGCAACGGTGACCTACAGCGGCAACGATGAAGACGAAGGTATACACATTTGCATGAAGTCGTATTTCTTAAATTCAGCCAAATCAGTCGAATTCCAAATTCAGCTGAAATAAACTAAGAGTTGAATTCCAAATATAATGTTTACATTGCATTGCAATTACTTCCTTACCAAATGTTAAATTTCCAAAATTCCTACATTAGGAATGCAATACACCAGTAATACTGCCAAACAAATAGCCCAAATATAGATAATATGAACCTGAAAAGTGATGATGAAAAAGAAATTGAGATAATTAAGAAGACTCTTGCCATGGAACTTCAAATCAAGAATCTTAGTGGTATAAGATACTTTATGGGCATTGGAGTGTCTGGATCAAAGACGGGAATTGTGATATGCCAAAGAAATTAAATCCTAGACCTACTAAAAGAGATAGGGAGGTTGGGGTGTAAACCTATTCAGATCAATAAAAGGTTACATCCAAAGAGAAAAGAAACAAGAAAAAAAATTGATATCAGGGATTAGTAGAAAAGCTTATCAACTATCAAATAACAAATTTGATATCGTTTATTTTGTCAGCATTATGAGTAAACATATAAATAGTCCAAATGAAAAATATTTATAGATGATTTCCAGGATATTGAGATTTCTTAAGAGGACTCATGGAAGAGGGCTATTGTTTAAGAAATCAACCAATAGGAAAGAAAAGGTTTACACTGATGTTAGTAGAGCCAGAGAACTCACCGATAGAAGATTCACATCTGGGAATTGTTCCTATGTATGAGTAAATCTTGTCATATGAAGGAGCAGGAAGCAAGCAATGTTATCTAGAAATAATGTGAAATCAGGGTATTAAGCACTTTAGGAATTTGTGAAGGAATGTGGAATAGGGTTAGTAAATGAGTTCGGATACTCCACGATCAATCCCATAAAAAAGTTATGTGATAGCCAAGCCGCCATTAACATTGCAAAAAATCTAGTGCATTATGACAGGACAAAACACATTGAGATTATTATACATTTTATCTTTGAAAAGGTCAACAGTGGCATTATTCACTTGATCTACATTCTAACTCATCTCCAAGTCATTGATGCTTTCACTAAAGCTCTACCCCCAGGCAGCCTCACTGAGTAAAATACATAACATATATGACAAAGGTTGAGGGGGAGTGTGGAAACTTATGAAGGTGAACCAGCACAGGTCTTGAGAATCGAATTGGAGTCAATTGTGGTTGATTAGTTTATTCTCTTTTTCTTTATATTTCTTTATTTTAATTTCAGAATTATTTCCTTTACATATTTAGATTAGATATATTTGACAAGTATGTAAATTAGGAAGGGGGGATTCCCTATATATGTACCCTACATGTGAATATAGTTAGTTTTTATAAAATATTGTAAAATGAAATAAAACTTATCAAACTACATTTTTATATCCGCTTTCATCCACACAAAAAAAATTCTCGCAATCAATCCTTCAATATTTGTTTATTTAAGTCACCCTCAAAAGTTAACCCATCTTCCTTGTATATAAGTTATACTAGTTCATCACGAAATTAGTATGTCACGCTCTCATATAATTTAACCAAAAGAGTATAAACTAACTACATTTATAATAACCTCACCAATAAATTAACTTACAAGAGGACCTTTTTGTCATCAACCTTATTATCACATCACTATTATACATCAACTCTCCACTGATTACTATTTCAACCAATCTGTAATATTAACCTTTCACTATATAATAGAATGTGGCATTTCCCAATATCACTAGTTTTCTACTTAATTTTAGTTTCTTCTAAACATGTGATATCTGATCATTGTATCAATTAATTCTCTTATCTTTCCACTCCAAATCCCAAAATATTAACGTAGTCAATCCAAATTTAATTTTAGAACAACTCAGTTCTTGCCCGCATTTCACCACAAAACTATCAAAGTTATGGTTTATCACCAGTGGGAACAATGTACTTAATTACACTGACAAATTCAATCAGACCTGATGCCTCTACAAAATAGAACATTTGATAAAAATATAACAAAATGATTACCTTTGAAATTTCATAGATGTGCAATATTTTCCTCTGAAGATTTTCAGCTTCAATGAGCCTTTTAGATTTTAATAACATCTGCAATAAAGAAAAAAAATGTTGGATCAATCTTTGATCAATGAAAAATATTGGTATAAAAAAAAAGTTCCCACAGTCAGGAAATAGTTAAGAGTATAGCTGATGGGTCATTTAACAGTGATAATATCAGTTACACTTGGTTTCAACTAAATTTTATGATGTTAGCCTGTTGAGCTACAATCCTCTGATATGTGGTGTAACTCGAATGTTATCAATCACCTTAAGATTGCCAATAAACCAAAATAAAATACGCACAAAAGCCAAAATAAAATATTATATCTTAATAAATAAAAGTAATACTCAAATACATGGGATATTGTGATTGCTATGAAAAATAGCACATTTGAATATCATAGTTCTTATAAGGATTGGACAATAAAAATTTTATATGGACTCCTTCAATAAGATTGCCTCACATATTATTATACCATTTCATTATTTGAGCAATTTTACTTTGTAATAATTATATGTGATGCAACATACTAGTCTATGATTTATTTTAAATCCTAATGTCTAATTCATGATTAGCCTATCATATTATTTTTTAGTGTTCGAATTTTCTATTAGAATTATTTCTCTTGCCAAAAATTATAGCTCACCAGATTATTATTTTGATTGTTATTAAAAATAAAGTGGAGAACTAAGTTCACGATGAGAATTTTGCAGTAACAATTACTATTTTATGTCTTGATGCTTAATTTTTATGAAAAATATGAAGAATGAAAAGACAATGTATATAATAAGAATTCATTGTAAACTTCGATGTTAACTAGAAGTATTCAATTTTTTTTTTTTTTTTTTGCTTTTTTTTTATTATTAGAAGCTTCATAACTGAACAAAGTAATAGATTCGAATGTTTTGGAAAAATTGACATGTCCTATTTTATTAAACCTAAGTATAGGCTTGTACATATGTATAATTTTGTCTTTCAAGTGATTAAGTTTCTGGCCCATTTTATTCTGGTGGATAGAGTTCTAGAATAGGTATTGGAAGTGAGACAATCAACAGCATTAAAACCTCCTCATACCAATCAAAGGCATCAGACGGCGTTTGAGAAGCGGATTTAGTGGGGAAGTGGTTTTGGAAAAGCTGGTAATGAACTATGAGAGTTTGCTGACATTTGGATGGTTATAGACATTGATTAGCGGCTGCCCCTGCTGAAAACAGCCGAGAAAACTCAGATTTGGAGAGGTTAGGGCAGCAAAGAGTATCACCGCCTATTCTTGCACAAGCTACAAACACACTATTTGCAAAAGTAAAAGGATACAACACTCCATTAAGGCAACATCAAGAGAAACATCTCCGAAATACTCAACTCCAATCAAAAGTCACAAAAAATAAAATAAGGTATTTATAGTATCTCAAGCAAAACCCTACTTAGAACTAAGAAAATTAGGAAATAAAAAAAGAAAAAATGAGGAATAGGAAATAAATCAAAAACAAAGAAAATATGGGTTCAAAAAGAGATCGAGCGACTACTGTGGGACCCCCACGACAAAGCATTCCGCAGCTCTCGTGATCTGTGGTCGTGAAATAGACGCTCAGCATCATTCTCACCGGATAGGAGGAGCTTCCATCTTCTTCCAAATAAACTTCTAGAATCAATCTACCACCATCATAGCAAAACCAACGTCTTGTTATGTCTACGGCAATCCCACACCAAATATATGCTCACGTCTCCCTAATACAACGCTAAATCACATACGTCATTCCAAAGCACATCTTAATGGAAGAAATATTCATCCGTTTTCGGCACAGTCTAAGCTGAAACAGCAAAAGGACGTAAATTCTCACAAAGAAACTCTTGAGCCTTTAAATTTATAATTTACTTCTTCCAATCCTCGTGCTCAGCTGAGCGCATCCAATAAACAAATTCTTTTTGAAGAACTAACTGCGGAATCAAATATGTGGCAACCTGGACCACTTTCAGTGGCAAACCACCCAATACAAAAATTATCGGTCATGATGATTGGCAAACCCTTCAACAAGGGTTGTCCCTTTTCAGATATCGGCTTATCGAACAACAATATCTTCTAGAAGAACCAATATTAATCCATTGAGAGTCTCTCTCATGGGCTCAGCTTGAATTACTAGAGCCTCCTCCTCGTTAGCTCAAAGTTGAGACAACTCGTTGAAATCTTCATCGTCGCCTATATCACTATCCATTTCTTCAATTGTTCAATACTAAACAAAAGAGATCATTCTCCTGTTTGGGCAATTTACTTCAATATGCCCAAATCCGTGGCACTTGAAACACTTGAAGATCGAGATAGATTTAAGTGTTGGTGTTGGTAGGCTTCACCTTTTCTACACTCTGGTTGGGTTTCTCCTCAGACGAGGTCAACTAAAATGTTTAACTAGATGTACTCTTGTTGCCTGATTTTTGGGTTGAACTCTGCCTATAAGATGTCATGGTAACACGGTGACGTTTTCTCTTCAGCTTCAGAGTAAGGGTATGAACACTGTGTAATGTCCGATAAGGTTGCAACTTCACCACATTACCAATAAACAATCTCAATTCCCTCAGATATTGAGCTATGGTACTATCCTCAAGCTCCACTAGCTCACATTTCAATATAAGTTGCACAAGCTCAATGGTGTACTCTCTTACTGGGATATCTTGTTGCTACAGGTGATGAAGTCTTGAGAACATCCCAGTAATTGCAGTAACAACTACTAGGATATCTTGTAGTTACTTGTGCTACATTTCTCATTCATCTTGGATCAAGTAATGATTTTTATTTTTCCTTCCCACTATCGAAGAAGGTTCAAATTCGCCAACCACAGAGATTCACCCTTCTTTAACTTAATGGCGACTAGCTTTACCATTATGTTTGGTGAGACATCGTGATACTCATAAACATGTTCCAATACCTGGAGCTACTCGATGAATTCTTTCAAATCTCTGTGACTGTCAAAACCCGATAAATCCACATTTACTTCAACATTGTGAGGCATGAAGAAAGAGTTACTATAGATGTTGAGTTTTGAGAATTACATACTAAAGCTTAATTGAATTTAATATTATTAAAGAAGGAATTTAAATATGACATGATTACTATAAAGAATAGGTAAGTGTGATCTTCATAAATGAGCAATGACCAATTACTGCATATTTTACATGTATATAAAACACTGAGAAAATGCATTTTGTATCATAATAATAAATCACAAAAAATGTGGTTAAAAGAGTGCATGAAAAAATAAATGACAAGCGAGCACAAACCAGTACATCAATTGAGGAACTTGAGACTATTGCATCAACTAAAGACAATACTCAAAATATAGAATGTACTTGCTGCACCAGATTTTATAACCATGCAGTATGAGAATATTATTTACTGTAATGGTTCATGAAGAGAATCATTATTTACTGTCTCAATATTATAGACAGCTCATGTTTATTTTCATTTCTTGCGCAATTTGATATTGGTTCTTTTTGGGTTCTTTTTGTTTTTTTTTTTTTTGCAATTTGTAAGTGTCTTTTTCTTCTGTCTTATATTTTTCTTTTGGTGGGTTTTGGATATCTATGATGAGATATTTGACTTTATGGGTTCCTCAAGATGGGTTGTTTATCGTTATTGGTTGGTGTCACATATGAAATTCTAATGAAGGCAATCAAATTCCTCTCTTTTTTTCGGTGTTAGGGTTTTTGAGGTTCTTCTAGATGTCTTTTTTTGTAATATGCATATGTGACACACACGAGTTTGGTATTATGTGAATTAAAGACAACCAAGAACCCTTTTTTATAAGATATATTGTCTTTTTTTAGTGACAGATTCATTGGTTATATACTAAGTTCTCTAAGACCTCACAACTGCATAAACCTATAATTAATTACTTTTGTCATCAATTTTTTCTTTTTTATTTCTAATAGGATGTTTTTTAAGCATTCAGAAAAGATGAGCTCGAGGAGGGTACTGCTACTGTGGACTTCAAAGTTCTTTGCTGACTTCATATCAGTCACATAGCTACGGGAGATAATTTTGCAGGTCCTCACGAAGAATCATGGAAGATTGTCTATTTCGGTGGGCGGATGGGCTGGAAAATTCAACCACCGAGAGTGATCAGGCACGGAGAGTTTTCCTGAAGACGGCTTAACTAGTGACATACGCCGTCTGCATTTTAAAATTAGTATTATAATATTATTAATTATTATTTAATAGTTTATTTCTTAATTTTAATAATAATGTTACTGGTAGTCAAGTGAGATTTCTATCGTTATTTTGTAATATTTTGCACTGAATTTTTGCTTTTAAAGTATAAAATATATTTGTATGACAGTTCTGTTGCAAACAACATTATTATACAGGGGCAGAATGATCATTTATCCAAAAACAGCTGCAACACAGCTGTTTTCAAACTGTCAAATACAAACCAACAGTCAGTTTATTCGCAGCAGCTTATTATTAAGCTGCAGCTGCCCCAAACATACCCTTAATCTTTGTGAGTTTAGAATTTAGAGTTATGTTGTTTGTCTAGTTTCAGGCTGTTCAAGTAATTAGGTTTATCACCAAGCCTATTTTGATGGGTAGTTCTTGAATGGTTGTTGTAGATAGATTCAATCTGCTAAGTTGTAGCCATCTCTATCATATCTTATGCTCTATAGGAAAGGTTCTTCGTTTTATGACAAAATTCATCATGTAAAAAAAGAAAATGATATTCATTACTTATTGGAACTCTATTGTATCATTCATGTATTTTTGTCAATGTTTTTTGCGTGACTACTCATAAAGTGCCTCAAAGAATGCATTAAATCATAGTAGATTGCAAATGAGAAACAAAATAAAAAGAGACACTAACATGGGGGCGTACATACGGGTCTTCTCGAACGAAAGCAGGCGACTTTGATGTTTGCCTAGACCGAGTTGGTTCACGTCTCTTACATTCATAGGAGTTATCCGGTCCTCTTCGGCCACTCATAGTTACCATCTTATTATATATTTATTTTCGTGATAATTTAAGATTAGTTTTTTGAGAGTTTTGAGTTGGGATGGACGTCAGTATCTATTCTTCCCTTTGAGGGTCGTATCCTAGGGTTCCATGTATTTCTTTAGTTGAACATTTGGTCACCAACTAGTGTTTATCTTCCCTATTCCCCATCTACATGCTTCCCACACTGCTCTGTGCCACTGTTCCCTGCTGCAGCAACCCATAACATCTGTCAATGTTGTTTTCCTACTATTTCCGCATTCCAGCATAAGTTCCATGCGGTTCCAGCACTCCCGCTTGATGTCATAGATGTTCCAGCTACCATAAATCATTTCCCCTTCCCACCAGCTATTGTTGCAACCATCCCGTTGTCGTTGACCACGTTCTTCCCACCTAATCGTTGTCCCGGCCCTCCTGTACTACCTCTCTACCTCATATCCACCGTTCCAACCTCCGGAAACCCAAATTCCACCTTGTTGTCGCTCAAAGTAGCAAGGACTTACTGTTCTGTTGTCATATATCGTCACTTGTCCTGCGCTCTCCTCTCACCACTACCTTCCAATTCCTCGTTGATCCCCACCGCCACCCCTAGATCCCACCCTCGTTTGAGAGTTTTTGTCAAGTTTGTTGTTATGTCAAAATTTTGGGAGTCGTTTCGTTGTATTTTCCCTTTTATGTGTGTTACTTGTAATTGTTTATTTACTTTCAGTAATAACATTTCTTTTTTCCTAGTGTGATTTGAGTTAACTCTGTATCATTTAGTATCAGAGTTAGCCTAATCTTAGGCATATCTTAGGTTTCTAGCATCTTCCAACATCACCCCTCCCCCTAACACAAAATTTTTCTTTTCCCTCCACCCTACACACCTTCCACCTACCTACACCCAAAATCTTAAGCACGCACCGAAGAAACAATTTCCAAAATTTGATCTGGAATCTATCACAGATGACATTCAAAGGCTAATCTGCAAAGTGCTATATCGGCTCGATGCCAATGAGAAAAGAACCAAGAGCAGTATCACCATCAACAGTAATAGGGAAATCCATCAAGGAGAGCAAGAATAATACTCAAATCCCTTCCTTAGGGATGATTTTAGTGGAAAAAAAGACAAACCACAATGCTTTGGGGTACAGTATTAGCAGTAACCTAGAGTTAAAGTGTCTATTGGAAGATATAGTGATGAGGTGTGTGGAGGATACAAAAACGAGATGTTTGTTAGAGGATACATAGATAGAGTGTCTATTAGAAGATACGGAGACGACATGTCTATTAGAAGATATAGAGATCTAGGAAATGAAAGAGGACCTGTCGAACTTTGAAGGAAGAATGGAACTAGATTTCCTCAAGTGGATGCCAAATGTTGAGTGAATCCTAGAATAAATAGAGGTGTCTGATGACAAAAGAGTGAAGCTCGCCGCAATCAAGCTGAAGAAGAATACTTCTTTATGGTGGGAGAACCTGAAGAGGAGGAGACTAAGAGAAGGACAGAATAGAATCAATTAGAAGAAAAAGAAGGTGAGGAAGTTACAGCACTTACTTCAGCACTATTGCCAGGATATTTGCTTAAAGCTCCACTACCTACAACAGAAAGAGCTATCAGCAGAAGAGTATACGACAGAATTTATGCAGCTTAAATTGCGGCGTGAGTTGAAGGAGCCAAAAAGAGCACACCATAGCTAGGTAATTGGGAAGCCTGAAGCCCGCAATCACTAATGTGGTTCAGCTGCATCCTACTGAACAACGAGGGGCGTGCGGAACTTACCACTGAAAGTTGAGATGCAGTAGAAGCCGAGTAGGCAACCACCGTCAGTCAGGCACTATCCCAAAGCATAAAAAGTTGTCCCACCGCAAAAAGACCATATTTTACTTGTCCTGTATGATGATCCCAATACTAGCAACACCTGAGAGTAAAAGCGCTCCATCAACGTTTGCTCTAAGCCATCCAGGAGGGGGAAGATGCCAAGAGGAGAGAACCAACCTGGCGAGTTAACTAGCATCCCATTGGTCCCAGATTGGATAGAACTGTGTTTTAGAAAATGCCTCGAGAATAAAAGCCGCAATAATCATTAGTGCCATAACCTCGGTTGTGTATCTTTACATTAAGGGCTCTCCAACAAAGATGAATAATGTAACAGTAGCATCGGGCTGGTGCAATTTCCGCTCCTCGTTGTCTTATTAAGTTTTTTCATAGGTTTTTGAAGTTGTTAAAAGATGGAATGGTGAGGCCCCATCTTCTCATGATATCCTTTATCTTGCACACAAAAAAGAAAAAAAAAAGAAATTTTTAGTAGAAATATCATCTCTATCTTCAGTTTCGGGCAGCCACACATGAAATCATAATGTCCGTAAGAACTCTTTTCGCAAGCCAAGAGCGAGTGAGGATGGCGTCATGTGTCATTCTCCACCAAAAGAAATGCTCACTGTGGTGTAAGTGCAGCCGGTCAAACGACTTTTGATTGGTATCAGCATGAGGAAAGGTGGCTCCATAAACAAGTCCCATGATAGTTTGCCCTTGGTTCAACTCGAGGTAGTCCTCCCGGAGCTCCTGATGCATCTTTACTTGAGGAATTCAGTCCATCATGTCAGCGCCAAAAGAGGCATGAATTTCCTGCATGCTCCATATTTTATAAGTGGTTATTCAAAAGCCTGCCTCCCGTTCAATCTATTGATGTTAATCGGGCACGGCCATTTAACAATCAGGGTATTGTTGATCCAACCATGTTCCACTGCATCCATACAATGACCATAAGCAATTTTCCATCTAGTAATTGACAGCAAGAACGTCGCCCCATCACAAAATATCCACCATGTGACGGATGTGTTGTGTGAACAGTTTCGGGCCCAAAGAATGGTGTCATATTGTGCTTTTAAACACCTTTTCTATTGGAAACCAACTGCAAAATCAGATTTGTGTGATGTGTTGCTCATGGATATGTGCCACTTTTTGTTGGAGAGATTGGCAATTTGATTGTCGAACTCAGCATAACGGGTTTAGGATTACCTACTCCTTTACCCAGGATGGCAAGCGCATAATCTTACTTTCTGTGGAGCTCTAGATTTTAGGGGATCTTACCAGTAGAAAGTTCAAGCAGGATCTGTTTGGATGATGATAGAGAAAAGAGAGACGGAGGTGCAAACTCCAGATACAAATCAGTCACCATAAAGAGCATGTCAGGACATCATGATCAATACTTACCACTATGGCCACCACCGTTAGAGGGAGTTCGGTCTTTTCTCACGTCAAGTAGGACTAGGACTACGTTTGGGAAACTCTGCAAGATATACAAGACACAAAGTTCTAGTTCAGTTCAGTAGAGTACCCCAGAAGGATGAATCGATATGGATGTATGCTCGCAAAGTGAAGGAAGCTCCTCAAGTGTTTTGGGAGATGGTACCGTCGACAGTGTGATCCAAGTGCTTCTCGGACCACGATCAAGAACCGTCAACCCTGAGAGGGTACAGCATCACTGTCACCCTCAAGTACAGATAGAAGCTTCAACGAGTGAGATCAAAACCTCCCAACACAGAGAGACCGACGAGGGTACGTACGTGTGGTTCTTCACACCAGATGATGTTCCAGCCATCCCGAAGCATGTCCTTGCAAACTAACCACAGTCCCAGCCCTCCTACACTGCCTCTCTGCCACATATCCGTTGTTCCAACCTCTAAGTAGCCTAATTCCACCTTGTCGCCGCCAAGAACAACAAGAACGTTTGTTCCATTGTCATATATCCGCTTACTTGCCCCGTGTTCTCCCCTTACCTCCACCTTCCAAACCCTCGTTGGTCACCGCCAACACCTCGAGATCCCACTCTAGTTTGAGTGTTTGTGTCATGTCTTTGCCATTTTAGATTTCCGAATGTCGTTCTATTTGAAGCGTATTGATTGTAATTGTCCATTGCCAAATCGAAAAAGGATGTTATCCAAACGCTTCTCAAGTAGTTGCAGTCAAACCTGGCCTGTTAACCCTTTATTTCTAGCAATATGCATATATTGAAGTAATTGTCGCCCTGTCAGACCATAATGAAAACTCAATTTAAGTTTCTATTTCAAATGAAGACGATATTGTGATCTTTTTCTATAGAGCAATTTGGTTTGAAGATCTCTGGATATTTGCTTTCAGTAATAATATTTGTTTTCATATTGTGGTTTGGGTTAACTCCGGTATCACAAACTATCATCAGCACAAAAAGCAAAGACCAATGGACAAAAATTACTATTAAAAAAGTTTTAGAATCACTTAGTTACACAAGCATGCATTACCATAAAAAATTCTTAACTATTCAAGAAACAATAGTTAATATAGGATTGAGAAAATAACTATAAGAGAATATCTTTTGAAACAAATAGAGAAAAGGACCTACATACTTGGACAAGAGACCGCGTTCTCTTCATGCAAGTTATGGTTTCACCCAGACCATTTTCCTGAAAGGAAAATCATTGCAACTTCAAGTACGCTTGATCTATGATGTACCTGATAAAAGTTGATGCATGTGAAAAAACATGAAACGTTCTCAAGAACCTCTAAAATCCTAATAGACTCCCGCAAAAGTTCCTCAGAATCCTTCTCCTTGCCCTGCAAATAAAGCACCTAAAACAAAAACAAATATATATAAATTGAGACATTGCCATCATTATTATCCAATGGGCTTGCCCATTGGACATCTAGCATCAAATCAATGAAAGTGTGTTCTATGGTCTACAACCCAAAAGATCATATAACATCTAACGAAAGAATCCTGAAAGGCTAAAATATCAATCTAATGTTATTCATATTTTAAAAAGAAAAAAAAAAGAATTTTGCTAAAATTTGATGCAGAGTGAATTAGCAAATGTAAAAATTGTGGGGTGACTTCACATCTAAATTTGTTACGAGGAAAAAAATCCAGTGTTAAAGTAAACCAAGGAGGGGGAAAGAAGAAAGGGGTTAAGAAGATTATAATGATAAATATGATACAAATCTAGACATGTATCACAGTTACACAAGATTATTTCAAATATTTCCAATTACTTTTAAAATATATTGCAATTTTAATGCTTAAACGTAATGACTGTCTTTATATTAGATGATAGGGTATTCAGGACTTTGTAATATTTAAGTATTAAATAAATTTAAATTTAAATTTGTAAATCATATTTTTATAACTAGTGGTTCAATTGCAATTTTGATGAGAAAGCATAAAAAAAATATTAAAAAGTTTTCACCTTCTTTATCCTACTCTCTCTGGTGATTCATCTTAACTCCATTGAATTGCTCAATCACACCCATCCCTCTCCCATTTTTCCATTTCCACAAATATTCTCTCGTGCCGTGACACAAATCGTTAGAATACATATCAAGAAAATCCTTTCTCTGAATCCATCACATAGGTTTCCATCTCTAGGTGTGATTGCCAAGGATTCAGAAAAGTCTTTCAATTGAACATTGATGTAAAGAAAGACAGTTATTCCAAATATCAAAGTCAAAGAAAGAAAAAAAAAAATCTTTAGAGATCATCAACAAGGATTGTTCATTCACTTGACACCAAATCAATCTTAATTTACACCAAATGCCCTAAAAGAAGGGAAACAAGAGGAAGAAGGGTAAGAAAGCATGAAGTAGCTTTATTGATGTGGAAGCTTCCTGCAGGATACAAAAATTCGGCAAGGTACGGAATTTTCCTGTGGAAGAATGATTCAGTGGGATCGCAGAAAATCCCGAGATAGCAGGTGTCAAACGACACTGCCCACCTGATTATTTTTATTTTTTTCTGATTTTCTCCTATTTCCTTGGAAAAATAATTGTAATAAAAATAATCAGAAAAATGATAAGTTATGTTGTAATAGAGAGACAATTATAACGTAGAAGGCAAAATTTTTGACGAGATAAGCCTTAATTAAAAAAAAAATTTAAATGAATTCTTGAATCTTAATAATTAAGGTTCAGATAGTCCAACTTGTATCAAAGGACTATTAATAAGTGTAATGTTGGACTGAACGACATTTATCATTGTTATTATGGACTAATGGGCTAGACGATAATCTAATTAAAGAAAGATTTTAAAAGCTATGCAAAAATTATATAAGATTTTTAAGATGAGTGCAATAAATAAGACAGAAAGTGAAGTGCATATATGATATTGATCAGCATAACTAAATAGAAGACTTGTTAATGATAGCTTTATTTTATTTTAACTTTCGTATTAGATGCTTATAATCATGTTCATGTTATTATTTAAGTATTTATGCATGCTTATTCATTATTACTATCATACTAATTCAATTATGATTATAAATAAAAACACCCATATTAGTTATTGAATGGCAGGCATGTTATTTGTTTCTTGTATAATTAAATCTTTTTAATATAGTTTTTCTCATATGGCATGAAACTCACTAAATTTTATAATGTTGATTTACATGAAGGAAAATGGAGTAGATGAATCATTAATCAAGTGACCTACCTTATACTGATTTTTATTGTATAGTTTTAAGTATATTTACATAAGACGGTGCTATCTAATGTTGATAAAGGTCTTTTGGTAAGTATGATTTTATATTTGAATGTTAATTAGAAGCTTTATAACTTATTTGATGATCGTTTATACACACTTCCATATTTATATTATTTCATGAATATTAGAAGAGTTGAAATATATGTGTTTGTTTGATAATATTTTAGAAAGACTAATTCAAAATCAACAACATAACAAATATTGTGCCCTATAAGCTGGCGCACATAGTGCATGCTAATTTGTCTTTCTTGTGCTTTCTATTCTAATTGAGTAAAATCCCAAAATAATCTTACGACAATTGAAAAGTGTCCCATTTAAGACTAAAATTTTAGAATGCTCAAATTTAATCCCAAACTATTAAATGTTGCTCCAAATTAGTCATAAATCTTATTTTCCATTAAAGTTAATGGTGGTTAGCATTAATTAAAGGGTAATTTTCGTCTTTTATGATATTAATAAAAATTTATGCGGTTTGTATATCAATCTCTTTTCAATTTGTTGTTGAAAAATCATAATTTTAAATTTACATTAATAAATCTCTTCACAATAGTCATCACTTTTTTTCAAATAAAAAATTTTGTGTCGGATCATCATTTGAATGCAGAGCCTTATATATATATATATATATATATCTCGTCGGTGGCAGACAGAGCTAGGGTTTCCCCTGATGGGGATTCCCTGATTTGAATCCTTCGGCTTCGAACCGTCGTCCTCGACGACGAAGGATTTCTCGTACTCAACAACGAAGGGCTTCTCTCCTTCAGATTTTGCGTATGTCGTCTCCTCCTACGCACATCGTTTCGTCCTTCCCAATGACGAAAGGCTTCGGCGTCATCTTCGCTGAGCTTCGTCGAGGGACCCTTCTCTGCGGTTTGTCTTCTGTGCGGCTTTTCCTGTCTTCTGGAACTCATCAGCTGCGACCGTTCCGCGACTTCGACATTTTTTGCTTCGCCCCGACGCCTTAGGCATGTCATTTGCCCTCTGCCCGACTTAGCAGGGCTTCTCCTTATTGTGATGGAGCTTCTTCTTCGGTTGAACCTGACAATCTCCCCTTTGCCCACGTGGTGGGTAATCCTCACATGGAGACGGCGGTTGTCTTCCCCTCAAGTTATAAGGAGTATCATGACAGTACAGGTAACTACCCCTTTATTAAGAATACAAGCAGAAAAATAGGAAAGCAGCACTTTTTTTCTCTGAGTTGAAAGTTTCAACCCTGACTGAGAAATTCAAGTTTGCTCTTATTGAAAAATTTTGTGGAGGTACCCACCTATGAAAGCTATCAGAAAAAATTTTGATGATCTCAAATTAGCAAGAAAGTGGAAAGTGGAAAGTGGGGCACATGAATGGGAGACATGTTTTGATTCAAGTAATCGTGGCTGATAAGTACATTTAAATTTTCTTAAAAAATTATCATAATATTGTTGGTAAATCAATGAAGCTGCTCAAGTGGTCTCCTGCTTTTGACCGCAATCATGAACCTCTTACTGCACCTGTATAGTTTAGTCTATCTGGTCTCAAGCTGCACTTTTTTCATCATTAGGTTCTTTACTTTATTGGGGTCATACTTGGGGACACAATAAAGCTAGATCTACCTACTTTCAACCTAACCAGATCTTCTATGGTCATAATTCTTGTGGAAAGAGATATTACTTTACCTGATGTTACTGAAGTCTGGTTGGGCACTACTCATAATGGATATTGTCAGCAAATCGTCATTGAGCATTGACCTCCTTATTGTTCCCATTGTAAGATGTTTAAGCATATCCTTGATAAATGTCATAAATTTCATCCTAATTTGAAATCTAAAGATCAAGTAAATAATGATTGATCTAACTCCACTGCTCTTGACATATATGATTCACCTGAAGAGAAAACTACTACAGAACAGGATTTGATGTCTAATTTAATTGCCCCTATGGACCCTCCCCCTAAAAAAACTGTTTCTGCGATTGATGAGAAGCTAGATATCCCTGCAGAGCAAAACCTTATTGAAAACCGTACTGAAGGACCCCTACCACACGGACTGACAATCAAGAGAACCTTGCAGCTCCCCATCTTCAGGAAGTATCTAGAGTAGAAACGACAACTCATACCTCACACACACTTGAACCTCTATTGTGGGTACAACTGTTGGCCATCTTTCTACTGCAGCACTACCGCCTCATCCGAATGAGCAGCAATCCTCGGATGAGGAATGACAGGTCTACACTTCCAGGAGGAAGAAAAAGAATGGAGATCTAATTGAACTAATGAATCTATTGGATCTTACTTTGGTTACTTCGGGCAATGGTACACACCTAGCCAATCTGTTAGTTGGTTTCCTTCCGAGAACTAGAGGCAGAAGTATAACTAAATTGGGTCGTCCCGATTGATCTTATATGTACCATCTATTTTTGGGTTACTTTACCTTTTTTTTTTGTGTTGTATCATGTGGGTTGGGTGTCTATTTTGGCCTTACTTATACAACCTATCTGCACAATTTTCTCTTTAATATATATATATATATACACACACACACACACAAATGGCATCGTCCTTCTCAATATCGCTTTGCTAGGGTTTCGCCGTTATGGCAAACGCTGGTTCTGCTCCACTGTTCGCGCTCGATCTTCTTTCATTTTCGTCAGTATGGCGTGCCAACATCAACGTGACTCAACTTCTGTGGGAATGTGTTCGTGCGGCCGATAAAGGATCGCCTTCGGCGGTGTCGTGTGCGTCTCTGCGGGATCGTGTTCTGCGAGTCTTCTGCAGCGTCACCCAGTCAACAAAGCTTCCTCATTGGTTGTCACGGCTCTCGTCGTCTTCTCCCACACTCGACACCGACGTTATCGCCTTGCCCTACAAAAGTTTCCCCCCGAAGTCTACTCGCTTTTTTCTAGCGGCTCGCCTAGTCGTTCTGGAGATGGGCTCAACAATGTGTTCCTATGCCAATGCACTTGCCGGCGACTTTTCTATTCCTACTTGTACTCCTCTTTCAGGTTCAGAATCTGGTTTTCATATTGGCAAGTCTTGCAATGTTCCTCAATCTTTCCACGACGCTATTGAAGGTGGTAGTGATCACACTTTCATTAAAAAGCTTCGTAAAAAAAATGAGAAG